ATGCTGGCTGGGGAATTCTGGGAGTTGAAGTCCACTCATCTTAAAGCGGCCAAGTTTGGACAACACTGGGCTAGAGAAAGTCCTACAGATCTCACAGTGCCACCGTCTGGTGAGTTTTAAGTTTTAAACCATCAATCTGCTGCCGGATTCTGAAACAGCCCCTCCAAAAACCTCAAATCGCCACCAATGCAGACAGGAGACACCAATCCTGCTCCTGATTCCAAAATTCATTTTTGAGCTGGAATTTTTTTGAGAGGAATGCAAGAGCAGGGAGGAAAATCTTACCACCGCTCTATCAGCTTCGCTATTCAGATCCAGCATCGAGGGGAAACCTGGGACAGCCGGCAGGACCATTTCCGCATTCCCACCCAGTGTGTAAAATGTTAAAAAACTGGGATTGCACGCTACGGGAAATTGGCAAATGGAAGCATTTCTCTGTGCTGTCAGAGTGAGCTTCGATGCAAATTCAGTCGAGGTCATTGGAAAAAAGATCAGGCTACATTTCTAGCGCATAGCTTATTCTTTGCAAGAGACTTAACATTTTCATTCACCATGGGACTGTTCTTAAGCCAGACTGCCAAGTATGAACATTTCCTATAATAGAGCCTTTTTCTGCAGGCACCATGGGGGAGGGAATATGGGGGGGCGGGAATTAAAGAAGCAGAAAACTCCCCAAGAAAAAAAAGAGACAGAAAGCAAAAAGACTTTTCAGGTTCCACTGACATTCAACAGCTTCTTTTTCTCCCCCTTCAGTCATATCCACATCTTAGACTGGATCTCCAGCTTCCAAACTGAGACCTAGATCAAGAAAAAAAAAAAAAAGGGTCCATTTCTGGAGAAGCCTGCTGCAGCCAGCAATTGAAAATGAGTGAAGGAAACGAACGAAAGACGAAGCCAAGACAGCTTTCCATTTCTTCCAATGCCTTCTTTGTCTTCTGCTCTTAAGTCCTCAACACCAAAGCTTACAGTGGGAGGGAAAATTACAGGACAGGTATCAAAAAAGTGTTGTCCATCGGCCTCGGCTCTCCCATCCCAGAGGAGGAAAATCTGCCACCGCTTCACATCTCAGCTCCGAAGAGCTCTTTGGATCTCAAAGCAAGAGGTAAAGGAAAGGGGGTGGGGGGAGAAATAGCTTATTTCGGGGGGGGGAAGCACCCACAGAAAGACAGGCAATGGCTTAATTTTCACATGTGTGGATGCAGGTAAATCCAACGGAGGCTGGGTTGGCGGCTATCCCAGGGTGAAGAGAGAGGCCCGAGAGGTCCCAGAAGGCCCCGGGTGGCGCTGCTTCCTGCAGGGAAGGGCGAGGGACCTTGCCTTCCTTTTGCAAAGGGTCCACCGACTCTATCCATCCCAGAGACTCCTGTTTCCTGAGCCAAGGCACAGAGGGCAGCCCCCACCTTGGAGGAGGGTGGGGTTGGCGGGGAGGGGGCGGACAGTTAGGAGATCAGGCTGGAAGGCACAGAAGTGCAAATCGCGCAACGCAGGCAGAGGGCAGGCGGCTGGCCTCCTGAAGCTCGCTCAGTCGACAAACCGCTGGCATGCTTTCTTCCAGCGACAGGCCGTGCACCACATGTTGCGGTTCTCCATCCCGTAGACTTTGCGGCATTTCTTGGCCTCGCCACGTGGCTTCCTGGAAGGAGGCAGAGAGAAAGGCCATTGAGGGAAGGGACCAGGCAGGCCAGCAAGGGGCGGCCAAGGAGCAGAGGAAGGATTCGGGACCTCCGAAGGCGGCACCCACTGAAGCTCAGCGGCCATCACATCCACAGTAGGTAAAAGATCCCCACGTCAATTACCAAAAAAGGGGAGATGGAATTGAGGAACAAGTGATGCGAAGGACCGCTCTGTATAGTCTGGCGACCAGAAGAGATTTCTACCGCTCACGTTCTGAGCCAGAAGGACAAAAATGTGGGTTTGGAAACAGACAGTGCAGTCAAGCGCCACCCCCTGCAGGACGGTTAGGCCCGAAAGAAACAGAGAATTTCTTCCTTTTACGCTTGCAGCGGTCAAGCAAACTTTCTCTCTCGAGTCCGGCCGGAGCACGGAGAAAGCCAGAGGGCCTGAGGGTCGCCCGGAGAATTTGGTTGGAGACACTAGATGGGGGAAGAGAAGGTGCAAGAGGAAGCCTGAAGCGCCAACCCACCTGGTGCCTGTTGCAGGCTTTGGCATGGAAGAGGGCATTAATGGTTGTCCTTTGGCAATTGACACAGGAGGGCCTTGCAGGCGCTTCTCTCCCGAATCAGCGGGTCGGATGGGAGTCAGGCAGCCCTGGTGGAGGAGGAGGAGAAGAAAGAACACAGTGGGTCTTTTTGGAGGGGGGAGGAGATCTCAGCTCCACAGCCTAAGAAATCAACATCCTGGCACTTAGGGGGCAGGAGAATTAGAACCCAGTCAACTAAGTCAGAAGGGGGGAAATTACGCCTGAAAGAATCCAGGGGTTATTTGGGGACAAAGGACCTCCCCACCACACCCTGGCCACCTCTGTCCTCTGAACACGGTGGGAAAGAGTGCTAACTGTGCCTTTCCCCTTCCGACACACAAAGCCTGAGAACACCCATAAAAACAAGGACCTTTCTAGGAACTCCACCTCTGTTGGCCTCACTTCCCCTTAGCCACATGGGGCATGTGTGAAAGGAGTCAAGAAGTGCCCCCCCACCCACTCACGTGCACTTTGTCCCTTTTGGGAAGCAAGAGCTACAGAGTTTTCAGCCATGTCTTTTTAACGCTTGTCCAGGGACAAACTTTCCCACCTTGTCCATAAGGCAGTGTTTCCCAACCTTGGCAACTTCCAGGGAGGTAGACTTCAGCTCCCAGAATTCTCATCAGTAGCCATGCTGGCTGTGGAATTCTGGGATTTGAAGTCCACACACCTGGGAATGGCCAAGGTCTGCTATAAGGCATTGACAGAATGCTTCGAAACGCTTCTTCCCAGCTTCCCTGTCACCTGCGTTGCCATTTATGAGACCGGCTATCAGCAGACTCGCCTTCTGATAGCCCATGTGGGCTCTCTCTTCTGTTCCTTTCCATTCCTTTCCTCAATCTCTTACATTTATCCTGATTGGACCACCAGGTGAGTTTTTAATTTTTTGTTACATTTAGTTTTGGGGAGGGGAGAGGAGCGAAGCAGGAAGTGACACTTCCCACCCTCCTTTGCAACAGTTGGGACTCCCAAAACAGCCACCACCTGGTTGACTGAGCCACTGGAGACTGTGTACCCCACTATACAGAGGAGAGTAAGTTAAACAGAAGGCAGCTGAACTGACCGTCCATGGGACCAGGGAGGATTTTATTCCCCACTGGGGTGATCCAAGGGGCCTGCATGTGGCCTACGAGCTGATGACCTTTGTTGTAGGATCAACTCTCTTCTGACCAAGGGAAAAAGAGTTGGTGCGGCCTTCTTGTTACTCACCGAGGGGCTTTTGAAGAGGACAGGGGGCAGAGGGGGTGGGAAAAGGGCTGGCTGTTGCCACGATATGCTGATTTCCATCCCAGCTGGTGGAGCCTTCAGATCTGCCAGCACCCCGGTAGGACCCATCGCCTGAAAGTGAAAGGAACCATCTCAAAGCGAAACAGTGGAGAAGCTGATCTGGCCAGAGAAGCTCATTTGATGGCTCTGGAAACGCACCTGATACGCATGGTCGGTTTGGATGTGGCACAGACTTGTGGGGGCCGACTGGCTCAGGAGGTTCATGGGGGTCGACTGGCTCAGATGAGACACCACGGAAACCTTGGGGTTGAGTGGAATCGGTGGCGTTTTCTGGACCTCCTCCAGGACAGGAAAGGGAGGGGGCACAGGGGAGGTAGGGGAGACAGGGGTCAGGCTGGAGAGACCGTCGGTCAAGGAATCCACATTGACGTCCAGCTCGGTGTAGTAAAAATCTTCCTCTCCATCACTCTGATCCAGGTCAGCCTTCCTCCTGGCAGAAGGGAACAAAGGGCCCTTAGCATCTTCAGGGAGAAAAAGAATGCGTGTGGCACACCCAAAGCAGAAGGTCCTGCTGGGAATTCAAGGGAATATCATCCTAGGCAAGGTAGGAGCGCTTATGATAGCGCTAAGGAGGAGAAGAGACACCAAAGAATGAAAAGTGGCAAGAGAAAAGAGATAAAAAGAGGAGCTTGAAGACTACAGCAGAAGGTGCCTTCTCCTTTCTAGTATAATCCCCAGCTGGTAGTCTTGGCCCATGCCCAACTCCCATTTGGGCAAACTTGCTGCCCAACCGTTCAAAATCCTTGTGGGCCCTCCTTCAGGCACTCTTCTCAAAGGATGCAAGGCAGGGGGCTATAAATGATGGGGTTTCCTCAACCATGGAGCCCCCTTTGTATCATGTCCTCCCCAGGAAAGAACTTCTGGTGCCTGATGGTTCTGATGGCAGCCCACCTAGATGGCTTCAAAAGGAGAGTTCATGAAGATCAGGCTATCCATGGCTTTGATTATTAAGGGCTTTTTACTAACTCCTGAATCACAGTCAACCTACATTAGTCTGGCTGCTAGGAGCAATGGTGGGTAAGGGCTCTGTCTCCCCCTCCCCCAACCCAGGCCTGTGAGCTTCTGAAGGTCATTCCGTGGCCACTGCAAGACACAGAATGCTGACTGAACAGGCCAATGACCTGATTCAGCCAGGATGTTCTTGTGCAGAATAAAACAAGCCACATTATGCCTTAGTCTGTTGTGTGAAGCCAGTTGGTACATCCTCTGTAACTCCTTCTGTGAAGTCAACCTATCCATGTCTGCAACCACACAGACACGCCCCCAAATGATGAAGAGGCTGACCTACCCCAGGTGGATGGCTCGGATGTGCTTCTGCATCCCAGAGGAACTGCTCAGCACCTTCCCACAGCTCTTCCACAAACACTTGAACATCACCTTCGTGGAGTTCTGTAACAGGAGAACATGCAGCTTCAGGTCGGATGCAGCTCAACTTGGACGCTCACCCTGTCTCACAATTCCAGAGAGCCCTCCTGGGGATTCAGATCCTGCCACCAGTCAGATCCCTGGCCATCCTGACTTTTGAGAGAAGATTTAAGGGCCACAGGGAGCACAACCAGTTCCTTCCAGTTTAGGACTGGGAACTGTTCAGAGCAGGGCCCATACTCTGTTGTTTCTCTTAGACCGATCGGGCAACTATTCCATATCTTTATAGTGCATATAGTGAAACTGTGGGATTCACTGCCACCAGATGGGGTTAGATGGAGGAGAACACCTTCATGGAAGACGATCTGGCTATGAGAAATTACTAATTCCGGTGGTTGTTGAGGACCTCTTGCACCCCAAATCACGTGCCTGAAACACCTTCTGCTAGGTAGCCACAGCAGAAGAGGGCACGTACCCTCCTGCCCACATGGTTGCCCTCTGCAGGACTCAGAACGCTGGAGTGCAGATTTTTGGAAGAAGAGAAAGGTAAAGAAACACACTGCCCACAAATGCTCGTGTAACCTTCCCCACTTCCAGACAGGTAGGATTTCAGGTCCTTTCTCACTGGCTGGGGCTGATGGATGTTGAAGCCCGGCATGACTGGAGGACACCAAGCTGAGAAGACCACAACAGTGGCTGACTCCCTTCTTCCAAAGGCAACCCAGCTGCTTCAGCCACCAGATTCTTAAAGCTGAGGTCTGATTTCACCCCACGCATTAGCTCCAGATTTGGGACTTGGTGCCATGAGAGAAGCTGCTCCGTCCAGCTTCTGCACCCAGGACACCGCCCATTCCATGCAATGCGGCACCGTTTCGGGCTGCATGTGTGGGACTGCGTGGCAGAGAAGCAGGGGTGGGGAATCTGTGGCTGCCCAAAGTCGTGGAATGACATCTCCCAGCAGCCCCCCCCAGGCCACACCAACCCTGCTACATCTGGGTGGCCACACCGCCTCCTGCTTGAGAAAGCAGAACCTCGGCAGCCAAGAGACCAGGAGCAGGCCAAGGATTCTAATTTAGCTTTTTTTCTGCCTGCGGTGAGAAAAACCCAGGGAGAAATCTGTAATCCAGGGCTAAGCCATCTTTTGGGGCAGGGGCACAGTTGGACCTTTGAGAACATGGGCACGCTCATAAAACAGCTGGCACAGTCAGCCAACACACACACCCATTTAGTGGAAGGGGAATCAGTTCCCGACCCCTGTATGCAACCTCCCTCCCAGTGGGATCTTGGCACAGCCCCAAGACTACAAGGAATGACGGACCTGTCCCACGTCAGCCTTTGCTTTTATTTTTAAAAATATTTTTTTTAAACCAATCGGGCATGCATTGGGGGAGGTGCCTTGGGGCACCGCGTTGCCAACCCCTTCTGACACAGCACAGCAAGAGATAACTGGGCAACTCTCCATGGGGTCAAAGCTGAGTGGTTTCCCCACCATCCACCATCATCACCACTTCTCACCTTCCTCTTCCTGGGGACAGGATCCCCAAAGAGAAACTGGGTGGCTTCTGTTTCCTCCAGGTCGGACTGCAGGGAAGACAGGATGCTGGTCGTGATGTCGGCGGTCAAGGGCGGCGAAGGGGTGGAGGGGGTGGACAGGTCGCTCGGGGGATCCCAGCTCCCGTCTCCACTGTGGTTGCTGCTGCTGCAGCTGGAAGACCTCACAGGAGCGTCTTTCCACCCGTCACAGTTCACTTCTGTCGCAGAAGAAAGCAGGTGGCGAGGTCAGATGGCTAGCTTTCATCCACACAACTGCCCGACTAGGCTTTGCGTGACGCAATGAGGGCCACAATCCCAAACTGGGTGCTGGGTGCCTAATGTGAGAGGATGGAGTCTGGGCTTTGAAGGGCCTTCAAGCTTCTGCTGCTTAGAACCCCCAATCGGCAAATAAAAGAGATCGTTGGAGTCCTAGAATTAAAGGGACCGTCCAGTCTTTCTCAACCTCAGCAACTTTAAGAGGGATGGACTTCAACTCCCAGAATTGGGAATTCTGGCTGGGGAATTCTGGGAGTTGAAGTCCACCCCTTTTAAAGTGGCCAAGGTTGAAAAACACTGACTTAGTCCAACCCTCCGCAATGGGCAGGAAAACCGATTCAATCATCCAGGAGAGGTCACTGTCCAGCCTTCTCTCCCAAATTTCCAGAAAGGGAGACCACGCCACTGCCACAGCTAGATGGTTCCATTCTGGGGCAGATCTTAACACCAGGAAGCTTTTCCTCCCATCGTAAAACAGCAACCACCGCAACCACAACAGCACCTCTTTAACTGCATCGAGACACTATCCTCAGCTTTCAGCCTCCTTTGGCTCTGTTTCGGTCCCGTTCTTTTATTATTATGCTCTTGCGCTTTCAAGTTGTTATTTTTATTCCGTGAGACATCCAAATGGTTTTGGGTTTTTGTTTTGTTTTTTTTTATGGCAGGGGAACCTATAAATACCAAAACCATACAAAAGCAGCCAACAGCCGTAAACAACACATACCACACTGCAAACGTTTATATTTAGAACTTTAATATCTCCTTTTTTCGCTCGGGTGGAAAATATTCTCTCTGCCCCAAATCCCAACTCGGGCCTGTTATTCAAGAGTTGAGAATAGTGCGCGAGAGAGAAAAACAGACCCGCCAAGTTTCAGGCGAGAGGGGCTGATACGAGCTTTATATCAGACACGCCGAAGAGCCTGGTGATTAGCAATTTCAGCGGTTTATCAGAGAGGAACAATAAGCCACGATGTTCCCAAGCAGTGCCGCCTCCTCCCCCCGCCTTTTTATTTGCATTTAGATCCTCTTTATCCCCGTCCTTTCTTTTTAAAGTTTTAAACTCCATCCCCGTTGGAAACACAGCCCACGCAGCATCACCAGACCCGCGCGATGCACCAAAGAGCACGACCACATTTTCAGTAGAAACGCTGAAACAAATAAATAACGCTGCAATTCAGGGGAAGGTGGTGGACCCACTTGGAAAGTTGAGAAAGTGCTGTGGGAACACTTGCAAAATGTCTGCTGGGGGGCCACATCCAATTGCAAGTCAGCTACACACATTTCTCCCCACTTTCCCCCCCATAGCCCACAGAGACTAATTCCATCATCCTAATGTCTCACCTTTGTCATTCAATGCTTCCTTGGAGTGCACCACCCACCCACCATTTATGCACATACATACATATATACACGTACATACATACAGGTCCTTGCTTAATAACCACAATAGGGTCCCGAAAATTTGTTAAGTTGCGCCCAATTTTACGACCAAAATCACACAACTCCCCGTTGATTTTGCTTGCCAGAAGCCAGCTGGGAAGGTTGCAAATGGCAATCACGTGACCCCGGGACACTGTAGCTGTCATAAGTGCGAGCTGGTTGCCAAACGCCCAGATCATGATCGTGTGAGCACAGGGTGCTGCAATGGTTATAAGTACGAGGACTAGTTGTAAGTCCCTTTGTACAGCAACACTGTAACTTTGAATGGTCACTAAACAAATGGTTGTTAAGTGAGGACTACTTGTACATATATATATGCATTCTCAAAAAAAGCCTATGGTGTCTATAAGGAGCACAAGGAACTGCTTGGAAATAAATCTAGTCCCTCTGCAACCAGCCAGCTTCTTATTGCAAATGGCAGCACCTTGGCCATCTCAAGAAAAGCTAAGCAAGTTGGATCTGGATAATATTCAGAGGGGAGACCCACTGAAAGATCAGGTCTGTCAGCTAGACTAAGAAGCTGTTTAGTATGTTGTGTTGCAACCCCCCAGGGGTCACTTTGGAGCAGGACAAAGTAACAAAGCAGATAAAGTTGGAAAAACACCCCAGGAGGAAGCAACGGGAAATCCTTTTGATTGCTGGACAGAAACCCACAGATATTTGATTGCTGGACAGAAAGCCATAAGCTCTCCTCAAGGGGACTTTACAAATATATCCAGTGGGGCAGGAAGCTGGGGAGGGCTCAGAAGGGTCTGCCATGTTAAACTGCTGTGAACTCAGATACACTCAGAAATTCAGATACTACACCAGGAGTCAGGCACCACAGACCGGTTACACTGTATTTGGGACTCAGTCAGATATAGGTAGCCCAACCAGTCCCAAATAAGATAAAACCGGTCTGTAGTGCCCACCATCCGATGACTGATGCAACTAGAATCCCCACATAGGATATACAGTGTGTAAAGGTAGGGTAATTTCCCCACCACCACCTAGAAGAGGGGTGGAAGTCATGTAAAACTCCATACGTAGAGGCAGGACATAATGTGACATCTGTATCTCTCTGCTTTGAGAGCTTAAGGCGGTGTTTCTCAACCTTGGGAACTTTAAGAGGAGTGGACTTGGCTGGCTGGAGAATTCTGGGAGTTGAAGTCCACCCCTCTTAAAGTTCCCAAGGTTGAGAAACACTGACCTCAGGGAAGCTGGACCGTATGTAAAAACCCAGTAAGTTCTGCAAACCCAAAATGATCTCTTCCCCTTTCCGCTCAGGCAGTCACCCTCCCCTTGGAATACCTGCACTGAAGCCATTGGGGTGATGATTCAGCACGACGGGGCTTGTGGACAGGCTGGTGAGGACTTCCGCCGCCATGACTTCATCGATCCCCGCCTTCTCCGTCGGTTTTCTGCAGGACAGAGAGGGACAAAGAAGCGTCATCCAGAGCAACATCGCACACAATCCAACCCTGCCCAGAACACCAGGATCCGGCTGGCTCGCCCTCTAAAGCAGGGTTCCTCAACCCTGGCAACTTTAAGACGGGTGGACTTCAACTTCCAGCAAGGCTGGCTGAGGAATTCTGGGAGTTGAGGTCCACCCGCCTTAAAGTTGCCATGGTTGAGGAACCGGGCTCTAAAGTCTACACCTCTGGAAGATCACCCTGACTTGGTGGCATTCTCACAAGTCTAGGCGAGAAGCCGCTGATCGGCTGGCTGGACGACGCATCAAGCATGCTGGTATCTTTTGCGGGAGCTGCACTGGTTGCTGATTTGCTTCCGGGTCCAATTCAAGGTGCTGGTTATCACCTTTAAAGCCCTACGTGGCTTGGGGCCAGGTTATTTGAAGGGCCGCCTTTTCCCAATTTCATCTGCCCGACCCACCAGATCGGGGAGGCAGGGTATGTTACGGGTCCCCTCCATTAAGGAGGTCCATCTAGGGGGACCGAGAAGAAGGGCCTTCTCCGTGGTGGTTCCCTCCCTGTGGAACATCATCCCCACAGAGATAAGACGCAATGGAGGCGAATGTGTGTAGCTCAGGGTTGAGCTGTGGAGTCCTTGAGGTTCTCTGAGCTTGGTTCTTTTCTTGCAAACGTTTTGTTACCCAGCTAGGTAACATCTTCAGTGCTAAAATGGGATGGGGCTTGCTCTCTCTTTATCTACTGTGGCCTGCCTTGCCAGTGCTGGTGGGGGTGGGGGTTCTGC